TTCCATCTTACTCCAGAAAGAATGGCTATCATCAAGAACTCAAGAAAGAAAAAACTGCTGGCAGGGCTATGGGGATAAAGCCACCCTTCTACATTCTTGGTAGGAACAAATATAAATATCCACTATGGAAATCATTATGGAGATTTCTCAAAAAACTAAAAATAGAAATTCCATTTGACCCAACTATTCTCCTTTTAGGTATCTTCCCCAAAGAGTTAAAGACATCATACTGCAGTGATACATGTATGCCCATGTTTATAGCAGCACAATTCATAATGGCTAAATCTTGGAAGTGGCCTGTAAATCCATCAATAGATGAATAGATAAAGAAAATGTGGTATATGTACACAATGGAGTACTACTTGGCCATAAAGAAGGATAAACCTGAGTCATTTGTAGAAAAACGGGTGCACCTTCAAACCTTAATGCTAAGCAAAATAAATCAGACACAGGAGGTTAAATATTGCAGTTTCTCTTATATGAGAAACTCAAAGTACACATAATTCAAAGAGCAAAATAAGAGACAATAGGAAATGGGGGTAGACCTTTTATAGACAGAAGAGGATATAGGGGTGGGGGAGAGGGGAGGAAAGGGGAAATAAAAAAGACAAAGATACAATATGTGTGTGTACCAACTCCCCAAGATGATGGATATATTTATTATGGTTACAAACATGTACTGATACAAAAGGGGGGCTTTGTACGTTAAAAAATAAAAAAGAACAGATTAAAAAATACCCATGCCTTTCTCCTATAAAAATGAGCCATCCTTTCACCTGTGAGGAGCCATTATCCTTCTACCTGTGGGTGGCCCACTGCTTTCCTCCTGCAGTAAACCAAAGCCAAGGTTTACAGATTCACACATCCCGCAGATTTCCCCTGCCAGAACCCCGCAAACATTCCCAGCTCCAGACTATGGCATGCCCCTCTCGAAGGCCTGTGTTCTACTTTGTTTGAGTGTGTACTTTAAATTCTGCCGAGTAAGCCTCTGTGCCTCTCACTGACACAGCTTGAAAATTCTTTATCAGTGACGAAGACGGTGAACCTGCAGCCTACCCCATGGGCTGGGGTCAGTCAAGGTTCCTCACTGCACCTTGGGGATGTGACAGATTTGGGGATGTGCCCAGTGACAAGATCCTCTTTCCCCAAAGTGGGGGAGATAAAACTCGGCACCCACAACTGTACAAGGGGCACCATTCAACCTGAAAACGGAAGAAGCACCAGGCATGCCAACAATGAGAGGAAATGTCCATAGTGGACAAAGCCCAGCCCACAGAGAGGAGAGCGGGGGGCTGGCTGCTGAGGCTGGGGTGGGTGTGGGCCAGGACTGTGCCGTGGGTATGCAGTCTCCTTTCCGGGTGGTGGGAATGTTCGAGAAACAGATGGCTAGAGGTGGAGGCTGCACAACCTTGTGAATGGCCTAAGTGACGCTGAACTGCACACTTTAAAAGGGTTCGTTCTATCTCAGTAAAGAAAGAGAAGGAGGGAGTGAGAGAGGGAATGATGGATAGGAGAGAGAGAGGGAGAAGGGAGGGGGACAGAGGAAGAAAAGAGAAAGCAAGGAAAGAACAGAGGGAGGAAGAAAAGCCCTGCATGCACACTGGCTACAGTGACCTGGAATCAGTACTTTGTGAGTGGAATTTTCGTGAACAGAGGCAGGCATGGCGGTGGACACCTGCAGTCTCAGCACTCCGGGGGTCTGAGGCAGGAGGATCGCAAGTTCAAGCCCAGCCTGGGCAACTTATTGACTTCAGGAGACCCTGTCTCAAAATAAAAAATAAAAGGATGAGAATGTAGCTTAGTTGGAAGGCCCTGGGCTCGATCTGCAGTAGTAGGGAAGGGGAAAAAAGGAACTTCGGTGAGTGGAATGTTATAAACATCTGACAGAAGGAAGAAGTTGGTTTAGATTCATCCCTGTCAGCTATGTACAAAACATGGCAGGCGCCTGGAGGCCAGGATAGAGGGTCTTTCCAGGGGGCACTTTAGAAAGGGTGAGGTTCTGGCTCCTCTGATCAGGGGACAGGCCACCTGAGACCAGAAGCAGGGAACTTGGCCTTGGGCAGGGTGTGCGAAAAGGGCACAGCAAACGCTGAGGCCTGAGAAGAGATTCTCTGGCAGGGAGGCGGGGATGGCGGTGGTCAGGCCCTGTGGAGAGAGGGAAACAGCAGGGGTGGCAGTGAGGTGACAGGGCCCGGCTCAGCTTGGAGCAGCCCCCACCCCCCGACCATGGAGCAACAGCTCCTAAACAATCAAACCAGATGAATGACGTCAGATGGAAGCGCTTGGAAGGAACAGCCAGGAAACCAGTCAGAGGAGGAGAGATGAGGACATTCCTTAAAACAGATGCAAGACATATAAAGAGAAGGGCAGATGCAAAGGTCCTGAGGCAGAAATGAGCCAGGTAACTGGCAGGCATGGGAGCAGCACAGGTCAAGGGAAGGCCATAGATGATGAGGGCCTGGGCGGGTAGTCTGGCTTCAGATCATCAGGCCGTGGTGGCTGCTACAGAAGAGCCTAGAGTCTACTGTGGGAGCAGTGGGAAGCTACTGGAAAGTCGTGATGAAGCAGGGGAGTGGTCCATTTTACCTAGGAAGCCTGCTTCCCAACCCTTAACCAGACCCTCCAGTCTCTGGCCATATTTCGATAAACGTCCCCAAAGATCCCCCATGTGGTGCCACAGGAGGCGGGGCCCAGCGGGAAATCTTGGGAGCCTCGCTCTGGGCTCTGGAAGGAGACAGGGGCCCCCAATCCACTGCTCTGCATTCTTCCCTTCCACTATCTTGGCCCCCAACATGAGGGTTCTGCTCTGACACGTGTTTCCACCACAGTATTCGGCCTCATTTTAGCCCAAAGTAACAGAACCGGCACGTACTGGAACCGCCAAAGCTGAGCCGAAATAAACTTCTTTTCCCAAGTTGTTTAGTTAGCTCTGGTTTTGCTGTGGTGACGGGCAGCGGCCTAATAGCCCCACCCGACTGTCTCCCAGTCCATACAGCTGGTCACTGTTTATAAAGTGCTGCAAGCTTACAAAGACAGTTCTTTCCAGTCTCCCATCCAGGCTCAAAAAACATCTGCCCAGGAGCAGGGGAGGACTTGCAGTTGCAGTGCCAGTTATGACCCTCATAAACAGCCACTCGCAGTCCCCTAAACTCGGGGCAAAGACTGAAGAAGGGTGAATCTCAAACTCTCCACCTAGGAAACGGGAGGCGTGTTCAATGCACCGTACTAAAATCAGAGGGCAACAAATAGAAGCCAAATAGAAAAACATTTGGGTGGCTTTCTTGTTTTTCTTTTTGTCAGTGCTGGGGATCGAACCCAGGGCCTTGTGCGTGCTACGCAGGTGCTGTACCACTGCAGCGCACCCCCAGCCCTTGGCTGTTTATTAAAAGGCTGAATCTGAACTGATGCCAGCAGAAGAAATATTGAGCTAGAAAATAATTAACACTGAACATCTCCTGATTTTCTTAGATTCCTGAGCACTTTTCCAGGGTTTGGGTATCGTCTAGATTGTTCTTCTGGTTTTTGAGAACAATCCAACTGGAAGTATGCAAAGCCCAAATCTAGGCTCATGGTTTACTGTGAATCAAGCATGTCCAACTCACAGCCCACCACTCTGCATGGCCCTGGACAGTTAGCAATGTGGCCCCACAAGATCATAAACTTTCAACAGTATGGGATTTTTTTTCATGACTTAATCGTGTAGTGTGACACTGAGGCAAGGATCATATAGAGGACAATGGAATGCAAGGGGGGAAGGGGCAGTGCACCTGCCGCACACAATCAGTGAATCAAAACCCTGTGGTTAGTGGGGTGTGGTGATGCCCATCTGTGATCTCAGCATTCTGGGAGGCTGAGGCAGGAGGATCACAGGTATGAGACCAGCCTGGGCAACTTAGCAACTTAACGAGATCCTGTCTCAAAAAGGGCTGAGGAGGGCCGGAGATTTAGCTCAGTGGTTTCGCCGCATGCTGTGCAAGCGCAAGGACCCGAGTTCGATCCCTGATACCAAAAAAAAAAAAAAAAGGGCTGGGGATGTAGCGCAGTGCAAAGGTCCTGAGTTCAATCCCCAATATGACACCAAAACAGCACTTGTGCAACCTGGTATATATTACAACTAAAATATTTCAACCCACCTACACACACCGTGTGTTCCTGTGAAACGGGTGTTCATAGTTATTAAGCAGACTCATAAGTTTCCTCTCTTACTTATTAAACTTGGGCTTCTTGGGTTTTAATGTTACAGTAAAAATATTTTTAAGCACAGGAAGTTGGTTATTGATATTCATTTACTATATTAGATATTTTATATATGGCCCAAGGCAATTCCTCTTTGCTCAATGCAACTCAGGCAAGACAAAAGGTTGGACACCCATGCTCTGAATCCTTGGTTTTGTGAAATCCTTGTTCTCAAACTGAAATAGAGAAAATATCGCAGATAAAATTCATGCAGAGTCTTGTCTTGTTCAACACACAAATAAGATAGAAAAGGTACAAGGAAGCTGTAGCTGGCAACTTTTAACTGGGCGGCACCTTTATTTATTTATGTAAAAATTTATGTCTGTGTATTATGTTGTACATTTTACCCCCCCAAAAAAAGAAAAAAGCCAGGAGTGGTGGCACACCCGTAATCCCAGCACTCAGGAGGCTGAGGAAGGAGGATGCCTACAGGTGGAGAGCGGCCTGGGATACACAGTTCAAGGCCAGCCTGACCTGCGGTCGCCAGATCTTTTTTTTGGTACTGGGGATCGAACGCGGGTCCTTGCGCTTGCACAGCAGGCGGCAAAACCACTGAGCTAAATCCCCGGCCCTCCAGATCTTGTCTCAGAAAAACAAAGAAGAAAAAGAAAAAAAGTATTACTTAGCTGGCCACCGTTTATTGTGCCTTTCTATGTGACGCAGGACTGGGCTAGGCACATCACGCGTTTCTCAGCTAATGCCACCACCACCCTATTCCCATTTTACTGCTGAAGAGTCAGACTCTGAGAAGGCAAGCCACTCACCGAAAGTTACACGGCAATGAAGAGCCCAGGCAGAATTCGGTCTGTAGTTGATCTAACAGTCAAGTCTAAAAAGTCGGGGCACAGGCAACACCTCCCAGAACCCCGGGTCTGGAGGGGCTCTTTCTTGTGCCTTTCATTTAGCGGATGAGACCGTGATTTGGAGAGCCGGCCCCTCGGAGACCCATCACGGCGCGGACGGCCATCAGAGCCCTCCGTGGGCACGGGGCCTCTGCCGTGGGGCGAACCGGGGCGCGCGACCGGGACCCCTCTTCCCACCTGCGCCCGCCCGCGGAGCCGCCTACCTTGGAGGGGGAGCTGCTGCCCGCTGGGCCCGCCCGACGGGGGCCCGCTGCCTCTCGACTCGCTCATGGCACGGGCGCCGCCGGGAGCGCTCGAGACTCTCTCGGCCGCCGCCGCCGCCGCCGGGATTCCAGGTTCCGGAGCCCACGTCACAGAGGCCGGGGCGGGGCGCCAGGGAGGCCCCGCCCACGTCTCGGGGGCGGGGCCCTGGGGTCGCCCCCTGTCCCGGTTTACTGGATGGAAAACAATGACGGTAGCTTATTGCAACTATATTCTATAAATCCTAGAGTGTCCAAGAAGCTGGCCATCAGTAGTGGGAGGGGAGCCTGGAGGAAGGATTTTCACAATATACAACGTCCGTCTGTCAAAATTTGCTTTACGTCCACGTTTCATCTCCACCACTACCCATCTGTCCGTGTGCAATGTAAAACATGAAAGGAATTATACAGGTGGCGCACACCTGGAGTCCCAGCCACTCAGGAAGCCAAGAGAGGCATACCACTTAGCCCAGCAGCCTGGGTATTATAGCAAAATTCCGTCTTATAACGAACTAAAAGTAATTACCAACTATTAAAGAAGTGATTCAATAAAATAAAAATATACCTGGGAGAATGTGGATAATTCTGTGCAGAATTCTAAATCACTTATGTAGATACTTCAAGGAGAGGGCAGTGACTCTTCTCACCTTAAACGTAGCTCTGTACAGAATACGGGGCTTCCAACGTGCTAGGCCTGGGAGGGAGGCGGCAATGGACGACATACTTTCTGGAACAGGTGATGCCGAGAATGGCAGTTCACCACTGTGGTCATCCCTTCCCCCAGACCCAGAATCCCAGTCTACTCATAAAAATAAAATAAAAAGCAATTGAGCTCCAATGGAGGATCATTCTACATAACACCTCACCAGTACTCCTCAAAACCGTCAAGGTCGTTAGGCACGGTGGCCCATTCCTGGAATCTCAGCACTCTGGGAGGCTGACCCAGGAGGATTGCAAATTCAAATCCAGCCTGGGCAATTTGGGACATTAGCGAGACCCTGTGACAAAAATTTGAAAAATAATAAGAAAATGTAGCTTAGTGCAAAGGTTCTACTTCAATCCCCCACGGTGGTGGCGGTGGCGGGGTGGG